ATATTTAAGGAATCATAATGGCGCGAAAGTCTGCATGCATAGAAAAGCATTGTCATTATGATAGTTTCATTGTCTTTCTAAAAAAATGTCAGCTTTCAAAACTATGGGCTAAATCAACTGAGGCTTATAAACAGACGATTCAAACAATGATCCGCTTGCGTGACGAGGTGGCTTTGACTATAGAGGGTGATTGTGATGGATAAAGTCCAAGGTTATCGTCGATTGATGTCAGAGGGTGCATGGGTGTAAGGGGAGAAGGCAAGGGGGAATAGTCCCCCTGTACCCATCTCCCCCCTCCCCCCCCAAAAAAAAAAGGCAAAAAAAGAGAATGTACGAAAGTAATGATGGTTTCAATCAAATTTTATAACACCTCATCCACAGATTCTTTGTCACGAGTCACATGATACTTTCTATTTTTGCTATCTGTGCACGGCCAAAAGTACTATACCCGTAGCAACCAAAGTAATATACCATTAGCAACCAAAGTACTATTTCCACGGCGCGGCATTTGTGTGCAAATGCATGCTGGTGTGCGCGTTGCGCGTTGCACGCAGCGTGTTTTGTTCCAAAGAGAGCGCGCCGCAGAGTTGGGTTCAAACATTTCGCGAAGGGGTAGTTGGAGGAGAGAAATACATTTTCTTCCAGTTTTGTATTGAAATTGAAGTTTACTTCAACTGTGTTCAGATTTAGATAATTTAAATATTATAACTAAGCAGAATCTGTCGGTGAAGTGTTATAAAACAAATATTGAATGCTTTATCTCGTGGTGAAGTAAAACTAGCCTCCCTCGGTGATCCATGGAGCATTCTATTTTCCCTCGGCTTCGCCTCGGGAAAGTAGAATGTCCATGGATCACCTCGGGAGGCTAGTTACACCACTCGAAGCATTCAATATTTGTATAATATCGTTTATAAGACTAAATGGTACCATTGGAAGACATGTTATCGCCATAATTTCGAACATAGGGCGACATCCGACATTAGGGAGACATTTTCAAGTCTCCCTAATGTCACAGCCCCCCCTTTAGAGGCAAAATCTGATCGTCGCAACCAGGTTATATTTGTTGCTCGTGGTCTAATAAGTAAACATACCGAAACTCGTGGAAAAAAGATAAGGGAATATTGGGTTAGGGCACATTTAAGTATGAACAATTTTGTGCACAAGTCTATGGGAATGAATGTCTCCCAATGTCCAATCCAAGGTAATATTAGGGGCCTCTTATCATTAGCATTTGTTATTTTTCTATGACCGAAACTACTGGAAAGTCGCCTTAAACGTCGCTTTGTATATTGTGTACAAACACATGCCTCATTTTTGTGAAGAAGTAGATTTTCCGTTTTGACGAAGTGACGGATATCTTCAGTAATTAATATCTTCTAATTAAACACAATTTTATGAATAGAGAGAATTGTTTTTGGCTACTTAACTCCTGGGCTATTGTCTCAGTTACATATTTTTCAATTCTGGGGGAGAAATGTACACAAAAATGCAAATTGAAAAATCCACCAACTTCAAACGCAATTTTCTCAAAATTCGGTTTTGCATCTGTGTGCACAGATGTGTCACTTCGTCAAAACGGTGACGTTATGTGCATACAGTTTTGGAACAGCGCCCCAAGCGTCATGCACAATCATGATGTCGAATCTCCACCTTCTCTACAAAAACAAAATCACACAGGTTTTTCGATCTTTCCATGCCTGGTGAGTGCACTTCGCCCTCGTTCCAGAAAACAAATCCCGGTGACGCCCACTGGGCACGTTACGCCAGTTTAAATCAAGTGAGGTCTACTGATGGATAAACGTAGACGTGGCTCAAGTCCGATCTATACATAGCGTGTCCCAAAATACCCGCAACAATTTGTTTGCGAGGCTCTAGCGTCGCCGCGGAAACACTACCGCCATTGTTTTTATATCATTTAAAGTTTGTAATCCTAACTTTATCCTTTGTAAATATTGGTTTGATTTTCAAAAGGATTTTAAAGTGATATATGTTCAAATAAAGGCATGTCAAAAACAAAATCAACCGATTTCAATTTCAAGGAAAAATCAATCATAGGCCTATGCATTTTTTCTAACGTGGAAATGGTTCACCATGTTCATGGTGTGACGATCTCGTTGCCTTTTACTTTTTGTGTTTCCTATTCTTTTCGATCCACATAGATTACACTTTAAATGAATTAACAATATTGTTCTTCGTTTCGAGTTCAATTTTGAAATTAACGTGCAAGTATGTATCTATTCAAACAGCGCGCTCAAAGTGAGACTCGAGTTTGCATCTGATGCACCGCATCATCGATTTTCCTTGAAATCAGTTGAGTTTGTTTTCGACATGCCTTTATTTGCGCACGAATATTTGTAAAATTCTTTTAAATATCAAACCAATACCCGCCAGGGCTAATGTTCAGATTTCAAGCATTCAAATGGTATTAAAATAATGGCGGTACGTGTTTCCGCGCCGACGCTAGAGCCAGGCAAAAAAAGTTGCGGGTAAATATTTTGGGACGCGCTGTATAAACTTAGTACAGACCTCTAGCCCGGGGACTGACGTGTGACGACCACTGATCTATAGAGATCTGTGGTGACGACAGCTTATGGGTTTTGAGTGAAGACAGACTTGAGTCAAGTCTAGGATCTAGCATCCTTGGAGGCTCTCTGCAAAAAAAGACTGTCGTCAGTGTTGAGAGGTCTTGCGTGACAGATGACAACTGTAATCTGTCGTTGACCTATGTAATCAGCTGTGCATTGGCAAACCCTGCCGGCAAATTGCAATCAGAAACGGCAGCTGGTTGCGAACGTGAACCCAGGCGTTTCACAAGACCCAACAGTCACACACGAAATTAGTGGCAAATCGTGTCCTCTCTTGACCTTGGACAATGTCCGGGACTTGTCTAATGCGACCCGATTTGGATCATTTAATGGTCAGACGGAGGTGGGTGTGGGGAGGGTGGGGAGAGGGGGGAGGAGGGGAGATGCTTGTAGCCTTTCAAGCATGAGGTTCGAGCTGAATCTTAAATTCGTTAACTTGTCAAGCAAAGTCACGAAGCCATTAAACTCAACCCGAGGTAATGATTGAATTCGGTCGGTCATAGACCAAAGTCACCCGCTTTCAGGCTCTCTAGGAGACAAAAGGTTAACGAAGGTCAAGAAAAACCTTCCCAACTGCACCACCATAGCCCCAGACAGACGCTGACAGCTAATTTCAAGTCAACCGATCACGACTAATTTCGTTTTGAACCAGTGACTTCATCGCATTTAGACGAACTGCGAGCATTCTTGCCTGTGTTCAATGTATTTATAAAGGAAAATTACACGAGTGACCACGCAACATGATGAAGTTCAAAGTCTTATAGTCAAGAGAAGATATCACAGCTGAGTGAGTCGTGTTTCGAGATGTTAGGAAATTAGCGCTTTGACCTTTTAAAACAGTCTTAGGAAATTCGATTTCTTTTCAGTTTTTTTTGTTTTAGCATAGATCTAAGCATTATCACGAAACCTTATAACGTTAAAACAGGGAGGGTCAACGACTTGACATTGCACATTAAGTTGAGGCCATGCTTGCACGCAACTGCAAAGATAGCACGTAACCTTTTTCCTGTGATGTGTCATGTTCGCAGTGATACTCTATATTCTTTACAAACAATGAATATTCATTTTATCAGCCTCTGGGAGTAGCAAACAGATGATCTGAGTGAACTAAAATTTAAAGAGTTTTAGAAAAAAAACACTGGAGAGGACAATCAATCTGTTCATATTAATAAATTAAACTCTAAATGTCTTGTTTTATATATAGTTCCGAATTGGAAAAAAAACGAAGTTACAAAGAGCGGATCCAAGGGTTGCAGGGTAGGGGGGGGGGGGGGCTGACCACCCAACACTTCTGACTGTCAAACTGATTTTTTTTACAAAACAGGAAATGCCAAATTTTCGAAGGCTTCCTGAATAACGTCATAACTCTGTTTTGCAAATGGTGGCTGATTGCCACATGCCTTTGGTCTGTTTATGCGTGACTGCAACTCTTCATCCACCCCTACCCACTATCTTGGACTTCAACACCACAGCAATAAACCTATCGAAGTTTGTAACATGGCTCACGACTGGAATTGAATTTGTATTTCCCTATCTTGCAGCCAATCCCGTGGCAAACGAAGTTAAGTTGATACGGCGGTGGAGGTCTCTATCAACAAGATGAATCAAATCCAGTCTTGGCAGCGCTACCCAGGCAATTCCGAGCATACCTCACGCGCGCTGTATTCAAGCTAATGCATGCGCGTGAGGTCTGCTCAGAATTTCCTGTGTAGCGCTGCCAATATTGCCAAGACTGTTGAGCGTCGCGTCAACAAGCATTTACAGTATTAAGACTGTATTTGATTCATCTTGTTGATAGCGACCTTGCTTGCCACGGACCGGGGGAATTAGAAATAAATTCAGTGTTGGATCAAGACTAGTGCGCTGTGGGATTGCTAAAAAGCTAGAAAATAATGCATTAGGACTATTCGTCACGACCACAAAAGGGAACATACATTTCCTATGAATCATTTTGGCGTTGTACATGACCTTTCGGAAGGCATGCAGGACAACGTGCAGAGGAAACGGCCACTCAGAGTACGCAAGGCTGAAACTTGCTTTAACTAAGAACGTCCATATATGTCTACACGTAGCTTCATGTAATAACGATCGTACTAATGTTTAAACATGGTTTCCCCCATTTCTGCTCCAATTCATCCGGAGCTACATGTAGATTGCTTTCGAATGGAAATAGCCTGAGCAGAATTTGAGATTTGAAAATAAGCGTTTTCTCCACTGACTCGTCAACAATTATTTCAACTTCAACAACTTCCATGGAGTAAGCTGAATGAAGCTTTATGTAAAGCCCACGATCAAAACCAAAATTTGAAAGAATAATCTCAACCTAACATATTCAACCCCAAAATGTTTACTTTTGGCAAGGTTTGATGTCAAACAAAGATAGTATAACGCAGCCAAAATACGACCTTCGTTTTCTACATTAAATGTTTTTGTTGGCTTCTTTAATTGTTCTATTATGCGAATAGAGAAAAATCTCCAGGTTGTTTTTCAAAACAAAAATATCACTTCACATGCCCTTTCAGCACCACAATGAAATATCTAACAAAATAAGCACAAACAGTAGTTATTGTATCAACTACAGGGTGTCCAAAAAAAGTTGTGCAAGCAGATATTCATTAATTTCTCAAAAACTACTTTACATGAGTATGTTATCTTGATGGAGCACATTAATTATACTCTTGTGTATATTCAGTAAAAAGATAAGGATACAAAAGGATAAGGATACATGTATATATATTCGGTGCTTACCACTTTTTGGGTGCTTAGTAGCTATTTAGGTTAATCAGTTCATCTAAGAGTATACATCAGTGTGTTATTATTTATGTGGCATGTACACAAAGTCATGCATATACACAACATGTGTGTGATGGCCCTATACGATTTCTAGGTAGCGATGGTCCGAGCTGTCTGGCCTGCTTATGTTCGGCGGTGATAAGCTGACACAATTGCAGTTAGGGTTTTGAAATTTTCCCACCCTTGATGTCAGATCTTGTCCTTGGCTCTTCCACGATCTGACGCTCATAGTGTACGCAGTTATCTGGCTTGGCGTGATGTATCCGTTGACTTCACCCGTCGAGATCGTATGGGATGTTCGAGGCAGCGCGGCTCGGACGCAGTCGTTGTAGTACCTGGGTCCGCGTTCGTGCATGGATCTCGAGATGGGTCTGCAGCGGGGAACCAGCGACCTGCCAACGTTCAATCGACGTTCCTCGCACAGACCACCAACGGCATACGGGCTTTCATGTGACGTCAGATCAAGCCGTGCTCGCGGGTGAGCATAGGCGTAGTCGTAGTCATAGTCGGTCTGCTCTGGGTGAATTTGTGCCGGTGGTCGCATTTCTATCAGCGCGTGCTCCTTGGACAGAGAATCGTATCGCCTGCGGCTGTACCGGCGACGAATGCGGTAGGCTACCCAGGCTGCTAATGCGACGATACCGAGTATGATAAGCACAGCGAAAGCTAACAAGAAATGCAAGTTGCTCTGGTTGTTAATTTGAGGCGGACCTGGGGACTTGAGTGGGACGATGTCTACCTGAACGCCTCCCACGATGTAACTGCCATCGCTCAATGTGACTGTGCATACGTACGTACCAAGCTGAATGCTGTCTACTAAAAGGGTGCCATTTGCTAGAAGTCTGTGTGAGAGGTTTTGTTGGTTTGGATCATTGCCAATTGCCACGTTGTGAGTGGTGATGTATTCATTATTTGGGGTGAACCAGGCAATGTTGGTCCCTGCATGGACTGGGCAATCTAGGGACTGTAAACCTTCACCTTTACCTCGCAAGGTAATGGTAGACATTTCCTTGATGCCAGAGGCGCAGAAGTCGTACAGTTCATGTAGAGGAAGACTCCAGAGATCCCGGCCGTGGAAGGGCTCTGGAGATTGGCAGACCAACCCTCTTTGGAAAAAGACAGGAAGTTGGTATGACCAACGGGCTCTTAGACCCAGAAGTCCACAGCCACAGTGCCACGGATTGTTAAGCACCTCCAGGTACTGAAGGTTGTCGATTGAATCGAAGAGTCGCTCGTGTAGGTGAGTGAGACTGTTGTTGCTTAGCCGGATCCTCCGTAGGTGTGGAGTTTTCTCAAACAAAGCTAGTGGCAAGGCTTCCTGAAGAGCATTGAAGCTCAATTGCAAATCAATCATGCTTGTTAAACCGGCAAATGACCACGGTTCCAAAAACGACAGCTCACACCCTTCCATGATGAGTGTCTGCATGCTGCGCAAGCTGCTGAACAGCGACGGCATGTCTAGGTCAATACCACGATTCCAACTAAGGTCCAGGTAAGTCAGATTACTCAGATGCTCAAACATGCCATTGGGAACCCTTCTGAGTTCCGAACCTTCAATGTCAAGCCACTTCAAGTTCCTGGCTCCTTGAAACAAACCCGCAGGCAGGCCGCTGACTCTTAGATTGCTGTCGCTCAGGTTTAGAACCTCTAAGCTCTGCATCTCGGCAAAGGCATCCCTGCTGATTGACCCGATGCCATTGCCGCCCAAGTTGAGTTCAATCAAACTGACCAAACCAGTGAAGGCATCATCTGGTATCTGGTTGATCCTATTGAACCGTAAATCCAGAACCTGGAGTATCTGCAGCGGGCGGAAGGCCGAAGTCTGCAGTTGCGAGATCCTGTTCCGGGCCAGGTGAAGCTGCTTCAGGTCGGATAAGTCCTGGAAGTCATCCTCATTCACTGAACTGATGAAATTGGAACCAAGGTACAAGAAGTGGATATTTGAAGGCAAGTCGGAGGAGGGCAGGCCTTCCAAGTTGACGTCTGTGCAGTTGACCTCACCCTTGACTTCACAATCGCATCTCACAGGGCAGGCTAGGGTGGGGCGACACAGGATGAAATAGAAGTACAGTTGACTCAGGATGCAAACGACAGGTAGTCTGAGAAAAGATCTGTTAGACATCCTGGGAGTAGTTTCAGATGCTTTTAGAAGAGCCTTCTCACCGACGCCTTCTCTGTTCACCTAATCCAACATTCAGGCAAAACCCACCAACATCATCAACTAAGTCTCGCTAAATCCAAAGAATTCATCTGTCAAAAGATAAGACAAAATATAGGATTGTAAGTTTTGCAACATGCTTGCCACCACCTGCCAAATATTTCATGGAATATCTGGAACAGAATGAACCGCGAAGGATGGACTGCATGACAAGTCAGCAGTTTCAATTACTGTGGCCCTTGGAAAATTTAGAATGAGTCAGAGGGTTCTTAGAACAGATTATAAGATGACACGAACGTGTCAGAAAAATATCAAGTTTAGTCAGCTCTTGTGCGAGAAAAAAAATGCCGGTAAAAAAATGAGTGTACAGATTCTGAAATTTTAATATGAGCAATTGTTTTATCCTTGGTAAATCTGGACGTTCATTGGCATGGAGTGATATTCCACACAGTCTAGTCGACTATGACTGCAGTTCTTTGTCCCACTATTTCCCATGTGCATCATTCCATTTAGCCTACAAACGCACAATAGTTTCTTCTAATTTCAGATTTGACGATTTTTTCCCTCCAAAATTTAATCGAGTACTTGAAACACTATCCCTACATTACAATTTGGGCTTCATAAGAATAACATCTTGTCATGGGGTATAAAAGCAGACTTAGGTCTCGTCCATGTGTTTATTGCATGGTGGGCCAAGTGCATATTAATAAAGACGATTTGGTTGTCTGTTCAAGTTTATGAAAATAACTTGCTCCAAAATCATGAACTTGCCCTAAAATTGTATTTGAAATGCTGCGGACCACAAATTCACCTGATTATAAGATATCATTAACGTAGTCTCTTAGAAGCTTTACAACGTTGTTGGTTTAAAGGCTACGCCCCTTATTCTAATTTGATCTTATCCCATGTTGTGTCTGTCAGGTTTGGCTGACGTCGTGGGCTGATTCCGGTTAACGCTAATTTGTGTATGGGAATTTAATCGGTTATAATTTCTCGTAACCATCCTTCCTCCGGAGAAATTAAGCCCGGCAAACAAACATGTTTGATTTGTTCGCATTCGATTTCACCGGACGCAATATTCATGTTAACCAATCAGATTCACGAAGGAAGTCTCATGGTTGTCGTCATGTGACTGGTCATCATGTGACTGGTCATCATGTGACTGATCATCATGTGACTGATCATCATGTGACCGATTTTTGGACGGAATCGGGCGGGTGTGCGGGTACGTTACCGTCGCAACGGTGAAAAACCCGTACCGGTGCATGATGGGATGATCCGGGAAACCGGTAAAATCCAGAAAGGTATGCGCCGGACTTATGCGGTTATTTGCTGTGCACTGTGTACGTGAAAGGAACGAAACTTGTTGATCGTTTGTAGAACATGTACGGCACAAAGAAGTGGTAAACAAACCACGTCAGTGCAAGAATTACACTCAAGCGATGCACGCCTCTTATAGGAATTGCAAATCTGACAAGAATAATAGACGGGAACGACTACAAAAATATTTCTTTTTGGTAACATTATACCGGGACTCTTCAGCTATAGTACATGTATCATGAAACACAATACTCTCAAAAATAGAAAAAAATATACACACGAGCTTTTTAACTAATGCAATATGATATTATTTACCTGACCGAGGTTTTGTCCGTGGCTAATCGACGACACAAGTCGGGTTCGTCAAGAAGTCCTCAGATTCACAGTACCGATATCAAAACAACACGATTTGTGCAAAGGTTGTTATCATGGTCCCGAGGAGGTGCTGCAGTATGCAATTGGATATAGCGTTCTAGCCGGACTCCTAAAACTACGCACGTAGACTAATCCCGATTTCTACTGTGTCAAACCTGGAACTATTCCTTTGTCGGGTTGTAACGACGGGGCTTCTGTACCAGTCGAATTCACTTGGTATTCAAGCCATGTTCTGTTAAGCTTTGCGATATCAACTTGAGCTGTGCCACAATCCCTGCACTGTGAAACTAGTTCTGAAACACCAAACCGCCTCCTTCTCTGAGGGGAATAAAGCGAGCAGTAAAGTCTCTAATGCGATTAGTGTACTCATTTCCGTTAACATTTCTGCGTTTCACCCGACCTAACTCGCCACTTGGCGTCGCTGGTAAACTTTTGACAAGCAGAAATCAATGTGAACGGTTGGCTCGGGGCACAGTGAGTCAGCTATCTGTTCATATGGTTGTGGCACCTGCTAGGGGAAAATCTCATCAAAACACACGTAAACAAAAAACGATTACTAAAAACGGAAGTTGATAACACTCGGTTTTGTTTCTCAAAGACTTAGTTTTCAAGAAGATTTCGTTTCTTCTTTTTTTCAACGAGACAGAGTTTGCTGCTGTAAGAAATTTGAACGAGGTGACCAAGCTCAGTGCTTACAATCAGTGCAATTTTTTTAGCAAATACTTTAGATACATGATGCAGAATGATAGCCTTGTGTACATTATCGTTCTACATTTGTAATGACACCGGTGTACTTGAAACAATAATACATGTAGCAAACAACAATGCGCATGGTTAGACAAGGGTGGGTCCAGAACCCATTTTTTGGGGGGGGAGGGTGGCCAAAAATTTCTGGGCCCCCAAAAAGTGGGTCCAAAAAATTACGGCGTGGGATTCGGGGCCCGTTCAAGGGCCAAGATATTTTGTTTTTCTTATTCTAGATGCTCTGTGATGCGATCTGAGGCAACTTTGACCTTTTTTTGGAGGAAAAGATAGTGGTGTAGGCAGTGCCTGCCTTTAAGGGAGGTCACTTAAAATAAAAAGGGGTTCTTTTGGGGGGGGGATGGCCCCGTTGGCTCCCCCCCCCGGATCCGCCCTTGTGGTTAGAATCACGTGACATTAAGGGTTTGCTGCCACCAAGCGTTACAATAGTGGTCCATCAAATCAGTAGATTGAGTGATGGGCATAATTCACTTTTTTCTGTCTGGTTTAAAACTTAGAGAAGTGAGAAGATTTGTTTTATTAATGTAAACAGTAACCATAAATGCCCAGTGCCTATGCGTATATCAGTTCCATCGGTGATTAGAGTCCGTGATTACTTTCTGTCCGTAATGAGAACGACAACCGGTAATTAATGTCACGCAGGCCGACGGTAAGCGGGCGGAAGCGACTGGCCCGCTTAATGACGCCTTGCCGGAACACACGCCAAAAGCGATCAGCTCGCTGCGTCATAAATTGAAAGTGCAGAGGGGACAACACGGCAATCTGCCAACCGTTCATACACTCTGAATCATCGCTAAGGCTTGGGACTATTGTTAAGGTTACTGAACACAGTAACGAGCGAAGTTTGAGATGAAATCGAGGACAATGTCGACAGGGATTGATTGCTCTCAAAACTTGGATTTTTTAATTTGGATTTTTAATGGTGTGATTAATGGGAATTAGGAAGTGAGTCCTTTTGTTTAAATTTTTAGAGTCGAAATTCATATGCAACACGTCAAACGTTAAGGGGATCAGTTCGGTATACGTGTTTAGCGCCCTTGGTTGTTGCAACTTTGCCATTATGTCGGCTGGAAAATATGGTTTAATGTCGAGACAGTCACACATTTCTCAGTGCATGGGTCTTATTTATCCATGGCAGGTTGTTGTTGGTAAGGGTTCGGTCGTGACGGTGGTGGGTGGGGAAGTGGCATAGTCATTGGCGGCGCAGTTCCCGGGGAGGGCCAGGGGTTTCACGTTTGCTCCCCTCATTTGTAACAGTCCGAAAATATTGCCCTAAGTAATAGTTCGAAGATAATTGCCCTGTGCAATACTTCGAAGACATTGCCCTATGTGTCATACTTCGAGAACATATTGCCCTTTTACCACCGATTTCGACATTATATTGCGAGGAGTGGGCGTAAAACGCTTAATGTGAACAGTGTGCGTATATTTGCAGTCATGTTTAGAAAGCGCCCCAGTGGTGTCCAGCGCCCGTTCACTCGCGCCGATCCCCCACTTTTTGAATTTCCTAAACTGTTGGTCAACCCCCTGTCCCCCGCCAATACGTTGACACGAAATCGCTGATCATGGACAAAACTGCTCTCCACTGTATGAACCGCATTTTAAGCAATTAAGGTCCACATGTATGCGATTATTGTGCAACAATTAAGACCGCGCGAACTGCAGTGATCTTTTCATCTCTTTGTATGTTGATGAGGACTCATTCAGTAGTCAGACTGTCTTTACGTATACGTCCTTCACGCGGGCCACACCTTCTACAATCCTGGCCAAATCTCGCTGGGCCCCCAACCCCCCAGCCCCGGTGCACCACCCCCCAGCCCCCTTGTATTTTTTTTATTTCCATTTTTTTTTATTACTATCAATCATTATTATCTGGCCTCAGTATTTGTTCTTTCAATCAACCTTCGGCCGCCATTTCATATTTTGGAAACAAAACTCAAGAAAACAGCTCCCAAATCGGCATGTCATGCATATTAAAAAAAAATTAAAAATTCAGACAATCCTGGCCAAATCTCGCTAGGCCCCCAACCCCCCAGCCCCCGTTCAATGTTGTCTCTCATTGCGCGGTGTGTGCTCCATCCGCTGAAGAGAAGAACATTGACCGGGGGAGCGGGGGAGTTGGTGACCGTTGGAGGCTAAGGGTATTTCCAAGTGTCCCAATCATTTTGGCCGGGATTGTAGGTTAATTCAACGTTCAACTAAACGTCTATACATGTATATTGATCATTCTATAAATTTAGGTTCCACAATTTTCATGTAGGCCTACCTGCAGATGTGACATGTCACATCCGACATCTATGAGTTTATGATTCGGACGTACTCCTTAACGCAGTCATCCTCCAAGAGTGATTATGACTAGCAAACTATACCTACCCAACAAATACATGTACAAATGCTTGAAGTCATTCTCAATGATACTTGAATGGCAAATTGGCAATTACAAAGTACAGCACAAGGTAACGGGGACAGGAAAAAATTGTCACTCTTTGGACCCTGAATTTATAGTATGACCCATAATACAGACTACTTTCAATCGTGACAATACTTTTATCTCCATTTTGAGTTGAAGGAAAAATAATACCATCGGAATCCGAAAAGGACCCACCGATATAACCTGAGAGTCGAATTAAACAGAACTTGAACATTGAAGAACGATAAAATAACGGGCACATCAAACGCACACATTGTATCAGCTTCTCAGCAAATGAGTTGTTTATCGACAATTTCTCACAATTTCATTAATCTTTACACTTTTTCGAAGTAAGTTGCGCATTTTTAGGTAGTTTTAGCAGCTATATTGCAGATAGAATACCTTTTATAAGAGTGTCCTTGGCAGTTATTGCTAATGATTAACTAACTCCCTAGGCCCTTTTTGCTTTTGAGGAACCATCCTCAATCCTACAAAATCCTCCAAAACTTTGCTAAGTTCAAATGAAGAATACCCAGTGCCTCAATCCTTCAAAATCGTTAGACAGTCCTGCCTAAAAAAACTGCATTCATCCTAAATCCTTCAAAATCCTCCTCCTTTTCAAACACCATTCATCCTAAATCCTCCAAAATCCACATGTTTCTCAAACACCATTCATCCTCAATCCTCCAAAATCCTCATGTTTCTCAAACACCAATCATCCTCATTTCTCCAAAATCCTCATGTTTCTCAAACACCATTCATCCTCAATCCTCCAAAATACTCCTCCTTTTCCAACACCATTCACCCTCAATCCTCCAAAATCCTCATGTGCTTCAACACCATTCATCCTCAATCCTCCAAAATCTTCATGTTTCTCAAACACCATTCATCCTCAATCCTCCAAAATCCTCATGTTTCTCAAACACCATTCATCCTCAATCCTCCAACATCCTCACGTTTCTCAAACACCATTCATCCTCAATCTTCCAAAATCCTCATGTGCTTCAACACCATTCATCCTCAATTCTCCAAAATCTTCATGTTTCTCAAACACCATTCATCCTCAATCCTCCAAAATCCTCATGTTTCTCAAACACCATTCATCTTCAATCCTCCAAAATCCTCCAAAACCGCCAAGAGGATTTTGGAGGATTGAGGTGGGTTAGGGTGTGAACAGGTTTATCAGTTGAGTAACTAACCTCTCGCAAATGAAAACAAAAGTCAGCAAAAACAAAGTCATAAACCCACATACATGTACATGTATATACGCACTCATATTCATTCGAAATTCTGAATAAAATAATGTTGTCGGACATGTAGGCCTAGCCTATACTTGTACATGCAAAACTAAAATGGCAAACAAGCGTTCATAGAATGAACTACTTTTTAAAACTGCATACACACCGCACACAATTCTATATGAAAGCCCCTCTGTTTCTGTAAGTGAATTAAATCAGTCCTTCGTGGCAACTTTTTCGCAGCAAATTTCAGTAAAATCCTGAACTTAAATATTCAAGCAGTTTAGCTGCATGGCTTTCACAGAAAGATACATATTCCTAAACATTTTCTTAGTTTCATACAGGACGGCATAAAGAAAATCCATTCAAAGACACCCCCAAAATTGTAACATAAATTATGTTTGGCTAGTTTAAATTCTGTAGACCCTATAGCCATCATTACTTAGCACGGGAATGGACCGATCCAGTAAGCACCGCCCCATGGTGTTCTGACCAATCACAGCCGTGATTTATGTCCGACGTGCGTGCACTAAAGTCCGACGTGCGTGCACTCAAGTCCGACATGCGTGCACGCGCTTATGACGCGCGCGGAAGGAAAATGTAGCGTGGCATTGGAGAGGAGCACGTATTAATTTGCCCACGTGCGCACTGGGCGGAGCTTACTGGACCGGTCCATGGATGTCCAACTAACTGTTGGACTTGAGTTAGATTCCCCCCTGTAGATTGTAGTATACCCAGCACGATATGTGACAGAGGGGTACCCCTACACAATACACACCCAGACTATTGTTACCTAACACATCCCCCTAGATATCTCAAAAGAATTCCTGAGATTCTGGTAACACAATGACCAACACAAAAGGGGGGGGGGGTCCCTCTGTCACAATCGTGCTACATAATTTGCAATATGGGCACTATTGTTAATCCATGTATAGATGCTCATGTGCATTGTACCTTATACAGGGCGAGTAAAAAAACCACGAAACCCAAATGTCGGGACCCTTGTTTATAGTGAAGTTCTGCAGGTAGCACTTTCAAAATCTAGGACATGAAAGCCCAATTCATGAGCTTTCTCTTAGTACAGGAATCATTCAAATTACTCATGTACTTTTCAAGTTACGGACTTTTAAACACAACCACTGTTTTAAAGTGCTGTCCACGGATCACAATTTGAGTTGGTGAATGGTTGTAAATTTCCAGGTCTGGTAGTTTTAGGGTCAAGAAGTCCAAACAAATTGTCAAAGCCATGTTGACTCGCTGATCGTGTTTGTGAATGCTGAGTAAACGTGTCCTTCCGAGGACGTCAACTTCTCTGCATCTACCTCGGTGCCATTATTAAGGTGCCCGTTTGGTTCCGTAACCCAACCGTTCATCCGCCTTTCAGTGTCCTCCCTTTTGCTGATGGAGAAGATCCCCTCATCGTCCTCACTAGCTCCGACGAGGTCCTCTTCGGAGTCCAAGGTGAAACCGATGTTGTCCAAGGCGAAATCGCGGAGTTCCCCGAGTGACAGGTCGAGCTCGGCATCCAATGGCGTGGCGCCGATGATCTGTGGCGGATTGCCGTTCATGGGCGGGTCGGCTTCAGCTGACGCACCGCCCGCCGCTTGGCCGCGTGGTCGGTGGGAGTGGGTCTTCCTTGCGTATCGGTGCTGGAGGTAGGACCGCCGAAGGAAGAAGATTTTCCGCTCTGGTAAAGAAAAAGGAAACAATGTGGAGTTTTGATCATCTCAGAACATGGTCATCACACCTTGCCTGTGGTATCTTGCCAACAAAAACAGGGGAAGCAAAATGGATATACGCACTGCCAATTTCCGCCATGGGCATGTAGAGCCTCGATCTGGCAACTTTACACAATAAATATATCCGGTTCAGTGATTCCCGTGTCGGAGTTGAGATCACTGAACCGGCTATTTTAATTGTGTAAAGTTGCCAGATCGAGTCTCTGCATGCCCGATGACGGAGTGTGAAAAGAGCGAATGGAGGAAAGTCTGTAACATTGAAAAAAGGCATGCATGCTTTCTACATGTAGTTACAAAGGCTTCTGTACAGGGTGACCCCAAACAAGTTGTGCAAGCAGACATCTTTAAATTTTTTTTCAAAAACATCCAACGTAACAATAATAATAATTTGGAAGGCTAATCATCCTTACTCGCAGCTGGTATGCTGAATTGCGAAGGACGCGGCTACAACGTGGTCGGGCCGCTGGCACGTAAAGGCGCCTATGGCTGCTGGCCACATCGACCCATATAATTATGACCACTGAGCACAGCCTGAGATCGAAAGTGTTTGATTTTTTTCGGAGGGAGGAAAACCCTCGTGACACAGAAGAGAACCAACGCACAACTCTACTCACATGTGATCCACGGCCAGGATTCGAACCGTGGTCACCTTGGTGAGAGGCGAGCGCTTTACGCACAGGCCACCCATGCCACCCTTACAACCTCATGGGGGGGGGGGCTCAAGCCCATCAGCATTTCATGTTGATATACTCTTGTGCTTATACTCACAGCGAAAATTTGACGAAAATCCATTCGTGCAAACCAGAGATACAACAGATTATTATGGTGGCCCTGAAGAGACATCTCATATCGCAAACGTGTGCGCATACGTATGCGATGTCGCAACATTTATCGCGAACGTGTGCGCATACGTATGCGATGTCGCGAAATTTATCGCGAACGTGTGCGCATACGTATGCGATGTCGCAAAATTTATCGCGAACGTGTGCGCATACGTATGCAATGTCGCGAAATTTATCGCGAATGTGTGCGCACACGTATGCAATGTCGTGAAACAATTTGCGAATATGTGCGCACACGTATGCGAATTTGTTTGCAATGTCGTGAATTTTATTGCATACCTTGTCGCATACCTTTCAGTAAAATTCCTAATGAACTGGGGAGTTGTAGCAGCTAGTCTGGAATCTAGACGTACTGTTAGATATAAATAGGGTCTGACTAATAAACCTTCGCACGCACGCTGTTCCTCGCGCAATCGTTACTACTAGTACTGTCGAGCGCAAACTTGGTACTTGCGCAAGTTTGAAACTTGCGCGCGCAAATTTGAAAGTTGCGTAAGTAGCAAGTTCGCGCTCGACAGTACTAGTAGTAACGATTGCACGAGGAACAGCGTGCGCGCGAAGGTTTATTAGTCAGACCCTATTTATATCTAACAGTACATCTAGATTCCAGACTAGCTGCTACAACTCCCCAGTTCATTAGGAATTTTACTGAAAGGTATGCGACAAGGTATGCAATAAAATTCACGACATTGCAAAACAAATTCGCATACGTGTGCGCACATATTCGCGAATTGTTTCACGACATTGCATACGTATGCGCAAACGTTTGCGATCAATTTCGCCACATCACATACGTATGCGCACACATTCGCGATAAATTTCGCGACATTGCATACGTATGCGCACACGTTCGCGATAAATTTCGCGACATCGCATACGTATGCGCACACGTTCGCGATAAATTTCGCGACATCGCATACGTATGCGCACACGTTCGCGATAAATTTCGCGACATCGCATACGTATGCGCACACGTTTGCGATATGCGATGTCCCTTCAGGGCCACCATAGATTATAAATGGCAATGTGTTTTTCACCCTTTCCAACGTGACTAATGAAAAGACCCATTGCAGAGTGCCGGTTGAGCGATTTCCAATGCAGTGTGTAATTCCCATTGGAATAGTTGAAAAAAAACAACCATATCCTTGTAAATCTGTTACAGCTCTGGTTTGCATAAATGGGTTTCCATGACATTTCCACTGATTATACACAAGAGTATAATTAATATGCTCCATCAAAATAATGACATACTCATGTTAGGTGCTCTTTGAGAAATTGAACGATATCTGCTTGCACAATTTTTTGGGGGGTCACCCTGTATTGCGAAATACGCTTGTCTATATCTGTAACGATTAAAAAAAGAACTACTTGTTTTTGTGATTCATTATATCGGGAAAAGAGGAGCATTTGGTGTCTCCAAAAGACACACGAATGGGTTTGCTTTGGACTATGAGATTGCAGAAAAAAAGGAAACATTCTCAGCGGCGGTGCATGGAAAGTTTCCGTAACTGAGGTCGAGTTCGGGGCGGGATGCAACAGACATTCAAATAAAAGGATCGGAGTTAGGTGGGCTCCACAACCATCTTTTTCAGTTTCGATGGCAACATTTCTTTAATGAGGACTCAATAAGTGGGAATGGGATGTTGTTGCACTTTTTGATTATTATGTTAGAGTGCAGAGGGGGAAGGCACTTTATCATGTCCGCTGCTTACGACGTATACATATGGAAAAGTCGTTGCTTTTAGAAATTCGTCAATGCCCGGCCCGCGATATTTTTTATTACACAACTATCAGGGGTACCTTGTGCGCTTTCCTATGGGGCATGGTTATTATAACCAGGCTGAGTGGAGGCTACTATTTTTCAACTTGGTACGGATTTCGGACTTTATTTCCCTTTTAAAAAAATCCTCCAGAGCCTCGGATCAGCTAGCCCTAGAAAAGAAAAAGAAAATTGCTGCTATACAAGTAGTATCCAACTGAAAAATAACGTTTCTAAGATAAAACTTTGACTTGTTGAAAAAAAAAGAGCAAAAGCTGAAGGGACAGAGCAAGGAATCGAACTCGAGACCTCTGATCATTAGCCAGCATGCCTAACCACTAGGCAACGGTGGTGCTCGACCTCGACCAAACCTTGCAATTCATTAATTATATACTTTCACACATGCGGAGAGACATACGCGCGCGCGTACGTAAAAGGCTAACCTTGATTCAAGTCGCCTGAAAAATGGGTACCCTGTACTTTTGTGTAAATAAAATATTCGCGCCCGGCCCGTACTTGTTGACTGTCAATCATGTTATCATTGAATGATATGATTTTGAATGAATGATTTATGTTCTAGTTATCATAAAAAAATTAAATCGAGGTATTTGTCTCATCAGAAACCGACAAAAAAATGTACTGAGTATTTGTTTCGGACTACAATGTTTGTCAATCATTAAATAATTTAGTTCTATGCGTGTTGTATTGTGAAGACTTCCTAGTACGACATGCATGTGATGGGATTGTGCCTTTGATGATACCAGCATGGCATTTGGCACACAGTCAGAGTATGTCATGAGAAAGATATTTGGCTATAGGGCCATCGCAGATTTGTCCTTTGAAAAAATAAAGGTACATGTATAGAACATGGGTGGAATAACAAGAAGCAATGGCATCCATTTTAAAAATTTGAACATTGCTGGTACCTATATTTTTTCAAAGAACAAATCTGCGATGGCCCTATAGCCAAATATCTTTCTTAAGACATACTCTGACTGTGTGCCAAAAGACATGCTTGTATCATCAAAGGCACAATTCCCCAAATATTTCCCCTATCTGCCCCATTCGGCGGAATGTGGTTGGCAAGAGAAGGTTCTGCACACAGCAATACAGCAAAATCAAGGCGCAAGTTTTTGAAATAAAATATGAAGCTGAGAGACGAGGTTAAAGTATTAAGCGAAAGTTGCAAGCTTCAACAGAGCAACACCGCATGTGATCACTGAATTGGATGTGATTGGCTACTAGGATTGACAATCTCAAAGGGCTGGGTTTGGGCTGGGCTTGACTGGGCTCGGCTGGGTTGAGGTGAGTCGGAATGGGCTGGGCAGGCCTGTAGGGCAGGGAAGGAATGGGCTAGGCTGGGATGGGATAGGCTTAGTTGGGCTTGGCTGAGATCGGCTTGGCTGGGTTGGCTTATGTAAGCTCGGGGAGGGATATGCAAGGCAAGGCAGGGCTAGATTGGGCTGGGATATAGGTCGCGTCGGGCTGGGCTGAGCTGGGCATGGTATGGCTAGTATACAGCGCCTATATGCAAATTAGCCATGCACCATTTGCGCTATAGAAACATCTATCAATGATGAACTAGCTACATATGGGCAGAAAATAAAGAAAACATGATAAAGCATGATCAACAGAAATGCATTTGGCTTGAATCAATGACGTCAAACTATTTTCAATAGGTCTACTCACAAAAAGGATGACAGCTTTTATGTAAAATATTCCGAGAAATACATAGAAGCAGGGTTTTTCATACAAAGCTCACAGCAAACTACAACTGTATAATATAAGCAATGCTGCTATAGCGACAAAGAGCTCAACTACAGCTAAGTTATAAGCGCACACATTGCGATGGGTTCTTGGCAAGTGTTGATGGCGTGTTTTATACCATGACTCGGTTTGACCCGCTTTGCAGATCCTCTGCTTAACGTGCTCTCTCTACCAGTCCAAACTAAACACAAACAAATGGAACGATTTTATATCCAGCAATTTATAGGTGAGAAAACGAGGAAGTTTGCATTATGAGTCTTCCTATGATAACGAGTGACTTCCGGCACACGTTTCATTCCGTATGCGAAGCTGGCAGGTTTTTTTGTTGAGTGAGGGCGTCCTTCTCCAACATGCATTCATCTCTGGCCTCAGAAGCATTCAATAAAGGCATATGGGATCATTTGCATTTTTTCTTCACTAAAAGTAACCCACCGAACTATTATCAAAAAAGCTTACTTGGATTATAGATCTTTGTACTAAACACCCCGTGAAATCTTTCTGTCTGGCTTGTTGTCATTTAGTAGAAATCAAGGAATGTACGAGTTGATTTCCAAGGATTTCGGTCCATTGCCTGATTTTTGGAAAAAAAGGACTTCTATCGACGAAATCGTGTTTCGCGATCGAAGGGTTATGCACAGTTTTACACTGTGTTCTCGAAAAGTGTAATATCCACTGAGCTGAAATTTCAACAGGTTAGGTTTAGAATTTTTTTCTTTGGGTTTTGAGTGTCGTTGTTGGAAACGCATGAACAGAAAATGATCCCATATACCTTAAAATGAGCAGACCAAATACTCAACATTTTGATAATGCATATTTATATAGGATTTAGTACACCCGTATGAAGTAGAACATGGACAAGTATGGGACAACAGTGTACAAGTCATGGGAAAATATCGTGTGAAGCTGAAAAAGAAGCAAGTAAATCTCAGGGGAAGATGAGGTTTTTGGAATGGTTGCTCTTCAAACAATATCAGATGAAATGGCTTCAATTTTTTTCCTGTTAAAAAGAAATGAATTCAGCAAATCTAACAATAGAATAAAGGGTCTGTGAGATGATTTTGACCTAGGAACATATTTTGTGCAACTTTCTACTCCTCTTAAATGCATGAAAACCTTTTGACATTGCTTTTTGGTTAATTTAATTGGAAAGTGTACATCTTTAAACATTTACAATTTCCATGCTTTTCCTGACAACTGAGGGCGCTGTTGCTGTGATGTCATTGCAGGAAGACACTGCTCAGTAGGGATTTGTGTTCAGTAATGGATTTTTGAACCCCCAAAATGTGCTCATTGAAAACATTTGCGAGATAAGTTTACTCATTGGCTTACTGCCATGTACTGACAAAACATGGAATTACCAAAGAAAAGGTAATTTACAACAGCTAAATATCAAAAATTCTGGCAACTTTTGGTGCTGAAATAGCTGTAACGTTGAAGTTTTCACCTGAAATGACATCACACTTTTGCTCATGAATATGGAAATTCGCATTAGCATAAAATCCAAAAAGGCACCAAAATACCCAAGAAAATGGCAAAACGAAAATTGAACATAAGGTGGAATGGCACGCAAAGGGACATTTTCAAGGATTTCATAAAAAAAATTACATTTCACGGGCCATTTAATAAAGTGACAAAAACCGAGAACCGTATGCTTCAGAAAAAAAAACCAATTACATGTACATGTAGTTGCAGGGGACATTATGATAGAATTCAACAGTTTGTTGAACACTATCGAAATAAAGTTATATATTTACTCACCTTTCGGTTTCTTAATCTTTCCGCATAGGGCAAAGTAGAGAAGTTTCCGGACGAAATATATGTATGCTTTACGGTACGTCCTGTTAAACAGACCGTATATCACCGGGTTGAGAAGCGTGTTGGCGAACAGGATTCGGATGGCGAGGTCCTCTGCGAACTCGCTGTACAATAGGTTCGTCTGGTGCAGGACAATAAACACCTGAAAAAAAGAGAAAAAAACAAGTGCTTTGGTCTATTTCCTCCTTCTGGATACCGTCCAATCGCTACACAAAATGGCGTGTACTTTGTTCTAGGAAGATGTTGTACAGTGCAAGTGCAAGTGCACAATACATTCTGGCCGTGTTGCAAGACGTCTTGCATGAAAGTCTCGCATGAAATCGATCAAATGATCCCTGCCAGAGCTTAAAAAAGCGTCGCCGAAAAATGCGACACGGATGGCACATGTGGATCACCATACTTTTGGTCAATTTTCGGGGACAGACAGCGGACAGACAGACAGACAGACCGCCCGACCGACCACCAAGTGACATGTAGAAACTCCCGCAAGAGCTTCAAAACCAACACCAAGAGATCCATAATGGATGATCGATACCGATATAATCGAACTGCGATACTGACACTGATATAATAGATACTAATATAATCGATGCTATTCAAGTCATGCTATTCATTTTTTGCTATGATGACAATCTTGTATCCCGAAAAAGGCGATTTTCGTTTATCACCTACCTCGCATCAACCAACAGTTCGGGTTTTTATACCGATTTCGGGGTTAAATAACAGTGCCCAACATTTCTGTTAACAAGCTTAAATGATTGTAATGAAATGAATCCATAAACAAAGGACTCATATCTCCTTTTATTTAAAGGAACTACAAATCCGAGCAAAATGAGTATTGCATGTTTTACCTGATTGCCATGGTCATCTAAACATCATTTCAGAACCGCCCCAAAAACAATTATGTTAGACTGCCTTTTGTTTTATTTTACTAAATAAACTTAATCGTTAAAGGAAGGTCAGATAGATTGAAAACATAATCTGACCGACGTATTCAAATCAATGACGAAAAACGCCAACCGCCCTCCACATGACACGACTGTCCCAAAACCAGGACAAAAATTAGAATTGTATACATTCGTGAACTACACCCGGAATTGTATAACATGAACTCTAATAGTGCAAATTCAATACTGAAGTTAACAATGGCAACAAACGACTTTGTGGATCGCATTACGTCTCTTTGTAACTGTACAATATATTGTGTTAAGTAACTGAGAAAACATATGCATTTTCAGACTTTATGGCTGCAATCTTGTTTTGCGATAATCGCTGAGTGAACCCGTCTTTTGTGTGCACAAAATACACAAAGCTATTAATTTTTCGCATTGAACTCGTCCAATATTAATCGGCTCGACGTGCCTGGATGATTTCTAAAGTTATATAGTTTCCCCAGGCAGTTTAACAAAATGCGTGTATGCAAAACAACATGGTTGAGCAGGAGCCCCATTAAAGTGCAAATTATTTCTCTGAAATTCTTGCTTGATATACATTTGTAAAACATTCACCCCAGCTTTGCGCAACTTGGTGATGATTCTTTTGCTTTATGAAAATAGAACGATTAAATTGTGTTTGTATAAATATTGATGAGTTGTTTTACCAAAAACAATTATAAAACGAGCTTGTCAGAAAAAAATAAATGAAAAAAACAAACAAGGCCTATTCTGTCCCCGGCTCTGTTTGGTATAAATTAATCATGACATTGTATATCAACGGATCACACAGTACATCGGTATAAAAGAACCTCAGTGGAAAAGAAAATGAATAAACAAAACAAAACACAAACAACAAACACACCAAAGGAAATAGATTATTATTATTATTATTATTAATCATTTCTGATGAAACCAAGGATTCCTCAAAAGCGCCCAAGGCACTGTAGCTCGCAAGCCTGAAGAAACCTGTGGAGAGAAGACAATGAGAAGAATTTACAGTTTTAGAGGTGGGAGGAAAAGCCCAGAAGAATATTCTGGGGGAAAACCCACAGAATCAGGCAGGGACTGAAAACCCAATCCACATATTGGCCCAGGCGGGATTCGAACTCGGGTCACAGCGGTGGAAGGCGAGGAAAGTACTGCTACGCCAACCTGACTCCCTGATATCTTTTGGCTAGGAAATTTGGTTAGAAGGAAAATGATACCAAGAACTCCCGATTCAGTTCAGAAGTTTTGATTCCAGCGCCATTTTTATGAACCAAAGGCAGGGGTTATTTGATCTTGGATGAATAATCATTTGTTTGCTGTGCAATAATCCTTATTATAACACCTCACCCACAGATTCTGTGTCTTGATTGGCCGAGAGCGAGTCACATGATACTTTCTATTTTCGCTATCTTTCTGTGCACGGCCAAAAGTACTATACCCGTAGCAGCCAAAGTACTATACCATTAGCAACCAAAGTACTATAGACCGCTTGCAGACGCGTTCGATAATCGACGCGCGAAGGCGCGCGACGCCATGTTGTGGGACAAGCGCATATCTATCCATGCACATTTTGTCCCACAACATGGCGTCGCGCACCTTCGCGCGTCAATTATCGAACGCGTCTGCAAGCGGTCTATTTCCACTGTGTGCAAATGCATGCTGGTGTGCGCGTTGCGCGTTGCATGCAGCGCGTTTTGTTCCAAAGAGAGCGCGCCGCGGAGTTGGGTTCAAACATTTTGCGAAGGGGTAGTTTGGAAGAGAGAAATACATTTTCCTCCAATTTTGTATTGAAATTGAAGTTTATTTCAACTGTGTTCAGATTTAAATGATTTAAATATTATACCAAGCAGAATCTGTGGGTGATGTGTTATAAAACAAATATTCAATGCTTTATCTCGTGGTGAAGTAAAACTAGCCTCCCTCGGTGATCCATGGAGCATTCTATTTTCCCTCGGCGATCACCTCGGGAGGTTAGTTTTACTACACCACTCGAAGCATTCAATATTTGTATATTAAAGCCTTTGACTTTGGTTCACAAAAAAAGCGCTGGAATCAAAACTAAAAGACCGAATCGGTAGTGCTTGGTATCATTTTCCTTCCAGCAACACTTTCCTATCCATACATGTATGAAGTGACGGTCTCTATATAGTGGAAGTACGAGGTTGTGTTTTGGATATAAGATCACATTTAGAAAACGAGGAGGGATTAAGTTTGTCTCTATCCACCACTCATCTACTACATCTCAGGTGATGCGACTATACAATGCGAATAGGCAAAAGCGCCACAGGCTCTATAATAATTATTATGCCATTACGGTGTGTTGCACTTCCTAAAAACAAACAACCATGTAGTCATTTTGGAGCTTGGCAAACAACAGGACGGAAACACTCCCTCCATTACCAAAACTGACCTTACCAACAAATCATTAGGCTTCGGTTTTTTTTGGTAATTGGGCCTTTAAAAAAAAACTATTAGGCCAAAAAAATAACAATTCTGCTTCCGGTTTCCCTACCTACCCTATTCCAACAGCCCTAATACCCTAATTTGTTTATACGAAAAATGAGGAAAAACACCCAAAACCATCACTTTATACCTTTTATCCTTGACTACACGCAGATGCCTCCATATGATCGTACACAAAAAAATGGGCCAAAAAAATCCCTACCTACCTACCCTATTTTCGAATGCCATGTAATCGGAAGCAGAACTATTTTTTTGGCCTTATATAGTGGATTATTTGTCACCAATTTATGATGGAAAACAGTACAGGGCCATCTTCAAGTATTAAGTGAAACTGTGCAATGATTGTACATTGTTGAATATTTCTTTCTCTTTTTTTCTAACCAAATTCACCAGTCCTAACAAATACAAGACACTTGCTGGACACCACATGACACTAGGGGGCGCTGTTCCTGATACAGAAATACTAACGCCCACATTGGCACATTTAAAGCTTTTGTACTTTTCTCTCTTCTTCAGTATACTTTTGATTACATTTTGCTTGTTGGGAAGTTCGAAAAATACCTTAAAATACGTCTTTTTGGTTTCTTACCACGAAAAAGTGGTGGTGGTGATGGTGGGGGGGGGGGGGTTGGATCCAATAACCCCATTATCCCCCACCCCCCGGATGACGCCCCTGGAGGTACGCCACAGAACTTCCCTGAACCCATTCCCCCCCCCCCCCGAAGTTTGTGGGGAAAAAAGAAATTGACCCTCTCCTTATACATGTAGTTTAAAACATCATCAAATATAAACCACATAATACTAAAGAGGTTGGGCCTTGACCCCTTTGGATTAGTGTTAATAGCCTTTGCTGAGTCCTTTATATGAATGAAAATCGTGTAAACAAAAACTTCCGCGGTAACTTTAGTTTAAACACAACCATGTAAACTGAACTTCGTCATTAATATGATGACATTAGTATTTGATCGATATTGGTGGTAGTCGGTGTACTGATTAATGAGTGGCGAAATTCGGTATGTACAGGTTGGCTTCAAAATAACTTTACACATTTTTTTTAGACGCAGGTTTCTCAAAATTGGGGAGGCATATTGAAATTGCTTTAAAATATCCCCAAACTACAAGGTCTTAGTGGCATATGGTGAAAGGGGAATTGGAAATAAAGCCTAATTTTAGAAATGACGGCCATTTACAGAAAAATGGCCAAAAACCAGGGGCCAATTTCATAGAGCTGCTTATGCACAAAATTTGCTTAAGCACAAAAATGTCTTGCTTAATAAAATCAGGTTACCGGCCAAAACTCCATGTGATTGTTATGCTAAGTAAACAACAGCTAAATACCAGTCACAAGCAATGTACATCACATGGAGTTTTGGCCACTAACCTAATTTTACTAAGCAATGTTTGTTCGTGCTTAAGCAAATTTTCTGCTTAAGCAGCTCAATGAAATTGGGCCAAGTGCACATCACGCGTGCATGAGACACATGCAGCGTGGTCATTATTATGACAGTTCTTTGTGCACGCACTGCTATTGTTTTGACCATGTTTCATAGACTTGCATGTGAAGTTATGGATAAACTAGGTTTTGACCGGTTCTCTGTAATTGGCCGTCATTTCTTAATTTAGGCTTTATTTTCAATGCCATTTTCACCATATGCCACCAAGACCTTGTAGTTTAGGAATATCTTAAAACAATTTCAATTTGTCTCACCCATTTTGAGAAATCTGCGTCTGAAAAAGTGTTCTTTTTTAGGGGGGG